CATGGGTCAGCCATTAGATTGGGTCCCACTAGCTCAATGGTCTACGAGCTCACTAGCCTTGTAACTATAAGATCCTGGGTTGAACCCTGGTGGATGCGTACTGATGAAACAGCTGTCCAGTACTCCCAGGTTTTCCAATGGTTCTCTAACCAATGTCAGCTCATGATGAAATTCTCCTTTAGTTTTTTTTTGTTTCAATAAGATCACTTTATGTAATACTTATATGAATCGTAAAAAGTAATGAAAATAGGCATTTTGAATTTGTCCATATTAGGTTATTAGAAGCGATAGCAGCAATAGAAACTATTTACACAGCTTTCGTGTTTGTTGGCACTCATCATCAAGGTGTATCTGTTGCCTTGAAAGAACTGACATTCTCTCAGTACTCTGTAATCGAAGACGTCGCCACTGTGCTGCTCAGGTTTATGACTAATAGATACACTGATGCCTCATTAGAAGCTAACTAATACCATAAAATGATAATTATGAATGATGCGTGTTCGAGTGTCATCGGGGTTGGGGGGTAGGGGTGGACATCAGTTCTCTTGCTGATGAGTACCAACCAAGAGATTGGAAAAAGAGTCTAGGACCTCTTGTCGAATACATTTAACCATCCTGACATGAATTATAATAAAGGTTTTTGTATTTCCCAATGAATGATGAAAAACAAAACGATATTGTTGCTCTTACTGACGTTTCGCTATTTAATGCTGATGCTAATAGCTTTATCAAAGTATTATTAAACCGGAATTTACAAAATCTCAGCATATATATAACAAAGAGTTAAGAGGTGAGAAAATAGACTTAGGTCAAGTTAAAAAGCGGACATATTGAAAGTCAAAATACCAATGAAGATCACTAAACCAAATAACAAAGGTAATAATACATCTGTTATGATATCAAAATAAAGTTTACTAACTTGATTATCGTTCCTTAGTCTGGGGTCATTTTTCGTTGTCAAGTTGGTCAATTGGTAAAGATAACAAAGCCAGGTAGGTGTAGATTGTTGGATTTGATCAGTGTGTAAAATTACAAAAGCAGTGTGTGTTTACATAGTGAACTTGCATATCACATTCGTGTTGATTTTGTCACTTCATGGGGGAGGGGAGGCAGGTGTCGTAACCACGTTAGATTCTGTTTTATTCCATCATTCCTATTCAGGCAATTTGGATTCCACTTGATATGAAGTGCTTCTGATATTAAACGTTCTTTATGATTTCTGAAGTTTTTCTGGATTATTTCAATATTGTCGAAGTCAATTTTCGTGACCTGATTTTATAGCATGTAGGCGTATGGCTGATGATTTTTCAAGTTTTTCCAGACATCAACTTAGAGTACATCATGATAACCATATTGGAAAGCTTAACTAAGCAAATTCATTCAGTATCACAACGCCAGTGATTAGATCCATGACATTTTTGTGACTAGTCAGTGAAGTTGATTTCAATTACTTTATCTATCACTTTGAAGCAATACAGATAGATATTCAATTACTCTGAATATCTGCTGCACTTAGCAATGAATAACAAAAAGATTCAGATTTTCAACACTACACTCTAATGTTAAGTTAGTCAGTACTTCTATAAGCTTCAGAAACTTAGTGCATCATGAAAAGCACTTCATCAACAGTGTTGCCTTCACTGATTCGATTTACAATGAACCAACCGAGAACCTAATGCCCAATCAATATTGCAAAGAAAATAGTGATGGATTGAACAAACTCAGTGTAGACTGTAAATGGCATTGCGTGCCAGGCCCTAAACTGAAACCCGGGTAGAAATCGAAGAGTTTTGAATGCCTCCTAGAATGAAATTAAGGAGGAGGAAATGCAAGCTTATGCTCAGTCGTCGGGTCATCTAAAAGAAGGCTGCAGAAAACAGGATGAATTAGATATGTTATGGTGAAGCCATATCTTCCACTTGGTAACCAAGGGAAAAATGATGTATATTAATTGTATATTTATTGAATAATTTGAGGACAACTTCATATCTGATGAGCACACAGGAGTCAGACAGTGAGAAACTAGAAAACAGGGATATCCTGGACCGACGTGAAGAACCTAGAAGACCAATATTTCGCGGATGATTTATGCTTGATGTCACACAAAATCGAAGACTTACAAGCGAAAACCGACAAACTGGTCGAAGAAGCAGGCAGTGAAGACAGGACTCCAGGTGGACATAGACAAGACGGAGGTTATGAAAATAACCAACCAACAACAGCAACATCCAGTGCTAATCACCATCAACGGGAGGGATTTGAAAGAGGTTACTTCATTCACTTATCTAGGGAGCATTGTCTCAACTACAGGAGGAACGGACGAGGATGTCAAATCGAGAATCGGGAGAGCGAGAAACACATTCATCAACCTGAAACCAATCTGGAAATCTTCCGCTGTCACTCAGCCTGCATCAACAACAGAATTCGGATTTCCAATACAAACGTCAAGTCAGTTCTTCTTCTATACGGATCAGAAACTTGATGGGTCACAAAGAACATTTCCAACAGCCTGTTGCAGACCTTTATCAACAACTGTCTTCGCTCTATACTGAAGATCAGATGGCTGGAAAGAATCACCAACAAGAAACTATGTGAACAAACAAAACAAGAACCAATCGCTCAACAAATATGCTAGAGAAAGTGGAGATGGATTGGACACTCGCTGAGGAGGCCGCTAGGTGACATCGCGCGTCAGTCCATCACTCGAGTGGAACCCGAAAGGGAAAGGGCGAGTGGGACGTCATTGCAAGGGTGACATGGAGGAGATCGTGTGAAGAGGAGTTGAAACAGTATGGACTAACATGGATGCAGGTGAAAAGTACAGAAGAAGACAGAAGCAAGTGGAGACGTGCAGTTGGAGCCC